GGTGCTTCGGCCGCACAGAGGTTTCGCTTGTTCTCGGATCTCATTCTTTGTTACTAATTTTGCTTTTCTTATGATCACTATGTGCACATTAGAAGGGAAAGTTTGTAGAACTCCTAGACTAAACCAAAAAAGTTTAACATCCATGCTTTCTATATTTTTAAGACTCATTATCTGGTTCTTTAATGTCTGCCAGTCACAAAGACGATCAGAGATGACTCACAGATATTATCATTAATTTATACATAATACAGAACAAGGTACACAATCTGATCAAAAATAGCAACAACAAAATTTTAAAATTTTTTCTATAGGCACAGACATATATGAACTGTAGTTCTCTCCCCCTAACTTAAACTGAACATTGTCTCCAATGTTTCAAATTTACCGATATGGTGAGCTTTGGAGATGAGGTTGAACGGAAGAGATCTTGTTCATTAGCCGAAACCTTTTTCTCAAAAACACCTTTTTTGGTTCTCTGGCAACGACGCCAAAAACTTGACTTGATCCGAAATGTATACACCCAAGTGCAGGCGGTCAAGTTGTAGTAATAATCTGGTGAAGTCCGGAGTCGAATCCACATGAAACTATGATTAGTGTTTAGAGTAAGCAGTGATAGAGACCAAGTAACTGAAAATCTTGAGGATTTGAAGTTGTGGGATTTCCTTAATAGAATATTAAATTCTTTCCAAGAGTTTTCTAGACAAAATATAAGATTCTCAAAATGTAGCAGCCACCTTTTAGCTCGAGGATTAGAACATGTAATTGATTATCCGGTTTATTATATTTGTCCTTTATGACTCAATTAACTCTGGTGTCAACAACAAGTTAATCGGAGGATAAAGATGGACCGTAAGGATTAAGCACATGATTCCGATGCCTTTCTAGAAGTTTACAAGAATTATCTGTGCCGAGACTTAACTCGTTTACAAACAAACAAATGTTTCTACAAGGCATCCAACCATGACATTAATGGTCCATTCTTTGAATAAAACACAATAATATTGGAGATTAAAAAGATGTCATGAAGAGCTAATCGGGGTACTTGCCTTGAACTACTAGGTCTTTCTATGCAGGAGTCATCCGTATCATAGAAAGAACCCTTGGTTATACAAAGTACCTTAGCTTTTCTAGATGCATTCAATCATCCAATGAACAAGTGGAATATAAATCATTAAAGCATATAGGAGTTGCACAAACATAACTTCCGGGTAATCTTTACATATTCATCACCTCTTACTAAAGAGTGAATAAAGAACTACTCACTCGTCATGGCTTTGGTCATGCTAAACAAGTGAATGATATTCATCCCTCCAAGTGGAGGAGCTACTAAGTGAGAGTACAATAAACGAAAAGCTAATCTTCAATAAAGAATAAGTGAATCACGTCTCACCCTTCACGGCTTTGATAAAGCTCTAGAAAAATAAAAGAGTTTCACTCTTCTAAGAAAGAAGGAAGTTCAAGCATTCGAAGTGAAAGACATAAATAACGAAAGTAGAAGAAAACTAGTTATTTTTGGAGGGTTTTCACCACAACCAAAAGTTGAGTTATCTCTCTTGATATTTGTAAATAAAAGCAAGTACAATTACAAGGGGAGTCTAGGCCTCCATCATGGTTATCACAATATGAATGTAAAGACTTAACATGAGTAAATAAAAGACTTCAACTACAAGGGGAGTCTAAGCTTCCATCATGGTTGATACAAATGAAAACATAGACATAGATAATAAATGTTCAAAAACTAGATTACTTAAAACTTTCTACTTTAGAAGAGAAAAGATTGCTCCCTCATTTACTCTACAAGAGGAAGAATGCCCTTTAAGATCCCAATAAAGGAGTATTTATAGGCAAGGAAGGGGAAGGGGGGTAGGAGATAGGTGAGGATGAGTGAATAGTATTTGCCGCCCATGGGAATCAACTATTCTGCAGGCAGTCTGCAGGGGGACATTCGAACGTGATCTGGCGTTCGAACGTCAAGTTTGCCTTTGCTTTGAGGGCGTTTGAACATGATATGACGTTTGATTCCTTCTACTCAAGTGGCCTGTGGTCACTGACTTGGTCTCTGACTTAGTCACTTCCATACGCCTTGAACATCATTGACTGTACACTCAGTAACTCTTTAGTCACTCAAGAAAACGTTCGAACGTTGTACTCAAGTACTTATGTTCTGTGGTTCTTGCAACATGTCAGCTTCCAGTGGTGTAGTCTTCTCAGGATTCTAGAGGACATTCGAACGTGAGTTGGCGTTCGAACGTAGTACTCAAGTACCTCAGTATTTTTCTTTTGTTGACTGCAACACGCCATTTCTTAGTAGCTGGTCTTGGCAGGATTTCAGAGGTCGTTCGAACGTTCTTGCTTTGTTCCAACCTTCTGCAATTTTGTTCTCTATTGTGCTGGTGTTACATTCAAATGTGATTTTTGTTGTTCTTGAGCCTTTGTTCACTTTAGGACCTGAAATTTCATTACTTAAACTCTATCAAAACACAATTAGTCCAAAAAGGCATAGTAAAATTTGTTAACTTTAGGTACGAATCACTTTTCTAGCCATGTCATACATCTGTCATGTTGTGTATTTGTTTATGCATGAACCTTGCTATCTGGTTTACTTTGTCTCTTTGCATGATTGCTCTTCTATTTTTATTCATTTTGCTTTAGTTTCTTAACGCCTCCTTTACAGTTCCTATCATACAAAAAGGACATAATATTTTAATTTGGCAAAAAACCATAAGTTCCAAGTGATAACATCCTTGAGATTGTGAAGAGTATAAATCAATAATCTAAAAATACATATACAATACGATCCTAGATGATTTTCCAATGCCTGACAGCATAACTAATCTAACGAACCAAAAGCCACACACAAATGCTTCTGGATTCTTATCCAATAGGGCATTTATATCATGCCTTATGCTGTAATGAACTCTAGAACTCCAAAATGAGAAGCCCGCTTAGCAGCAACTCTCTGAAGCTCAAACAACATTGGATACTCAATGGACAAAGATATTGTAGGATCATTTTTGATATTAACAATGCATCAAAATTGTAAAAGGAGAAGGGGGAGGTGGGAATCAAATATATCAACTACAAAAACATGTCATCACAGACAATTTATTTGAATTAACTGACCCCGGTGGTTGAAGGCTAACAGAGTCATTATAAATGAAAGAACATATATAAAGAAATCAAGAAATATAATCAAAAAAACATTATATTCAAGTAAGTTTACACGACAGATAATCTAATATTGAAAAAAATAATGTTTTAATATTTAATATATTTAATGATATAATTTAAAAATTGGTATATGCTATTTACGATGTTTAATTACTTCTTTATTTAATGCTTTGTTGTATCCTATTTTCAAACTAAGCCATAAGAGTGGCATGTAACGAGGTCTTTACGGCTCTTTTGACAGGTTGGAGGTGATCTAGAGGTTACAAGATTTGGATTGATTAAACAAAAAGGCTTTCAAGTGTATACTTTAGAGGGGTTGAGGAATTTCTCAAGTTTGCATGCATCGATCAAGCTGAAGATGCAACGATTTATTGTTTGTGCAAGTTATGTTAAATTGTTATTTTTTTAAATGAGCGGTTGTGCGAGAACATCTTATCATGAATGGCTTTTCAAGGAAGTACAAAAATTAGACTAAACATGGGGAAGCCTATGTTTCGAGGCATGGTAACCAAGAAAATGAAACCTTAGATGATGCAAATATTGGGGATGATATAATTGGAATGATACACGAGACTATTGGAGTTCAAAATATAGATGTCAGTGTTGAAAATCATGAACTACCTATAAATAATCCTCGACGTGGCACGAATGAACCCACCGTGAAGAGAGTGGATGGTGTATGGGTAGAGAGTACACATTGTGCATGATTAAAGATCAAATAGTGTATTGGAAGACTAAATTTTTTTATTATGCATTGACACTTTTATTACATAGTTTGAAATATTTTGTTTTTAAAAATTTGGATGCTATTTACTTATGGAGAATATATTTTTATTTTTAAATTTAGATGTTATTGTTTTGAGGGATGTGCTTTATTATTTTAATTAAATGATGTTATGAGTAATGTATTAGATATGTAAACACGTGTAGAGAAAAATGTGAAAGAGAGAATTAAGTTTTTTAAAAAAAATTATTTATGAAAGCAAGTTGCTGACGCAAATAACGTCAAAAGAGTAATATCATTTTTTTTGCGTCAACCTTTTGTCGTGGCAAATAATATCTTTTTGCGACGGTTAAAAATCATCATAAATGGATTTGTTGAGACTGTCTTTTACTGTGACTAATAATGTCTTTTGCGACGGATTAAAACTATTGTAAATGAGTTTACTGTGACGGTCCCCTACTATGACTAATAGTATCTTTTGCGACAGATTTTAACCGTTGAGAACGAAGTTTTTTGCAACGGTTCCCAATTGTGGCTCATAATATCTTTTGCGATATAAACCATCACAAATGGGTTTTTTTGCGACAAAAAATTGTTGATGCAAATAAAAAAATGTCGGATTTAAGATTTTTTTACAACGGTGCATTTGCATTAGGTTTTGCCGATGCAAAAGTTTTTGTGACGGTTAATTGTCAATGCAAAATCTTTTGTATCGTCAATTGCTTGCCACCCCCAATTTTGTTGACTCAAAAGATCACGTTGTAGTTGCAAATACTATTTGCGACGGCAATGTGATCTATTGAGTCGACAAATTGCTGAAGCAAAAAACCTCTTTTCTTGTAGTGAAGGTAAGTTTAAAATAATTTCCTTTATTTTTAATCTTAAGAGAATTTTCATTTTTCTTAAAAGTTTGTTGGGATTCGCCGTTGGTCTTTATAAATGTCCTTTGTGTGGCTTGTCATTGCTGAGAATTGTTCTCGAATTTGCATGGTTGTGACTTGTGCCGTTGTTGACTGATGGAAAGTTGAAGCCTTATCAGATTAAAGGTGTCAAATGGTTGATATCGTTATGGCAAAATGGACTGAATGGGATCCTTGCAGATCAAATGGGGCTTGGAAAGGCGATTCAAACTATTGGTTTCTTTGCACACTTAAAAGGGAAGGGCTTGGATGGACCCTATTTAGTCATTGCTACTCTTTCTACCCTCTCAAATTGGGTGAATGAGGTCTCCAGGTAATCATGTATTTTTAATTTTCCTTGGATTGGCTGACCTGATTTTATTAGAATCAATGTATGTTTGCATCCAGTTCAACAGTATTTTATTTGATTGATTGGCTTCCGTCAACGTATCATTCTTTTTTTTTTTTCCCAAGGTTTGTGCCCTCGGTGAATGCAATTATCTACCATGGTAATAAGAAAGAAAGGGATGAGATAAGGGGGAAGCACATGTCGAGAACAATAGGCCCTGACTTTCCCATTGTGATAACTTCATATGAGGTTGCATTAAATGACGCAAAAAGGAACTTAAGGCCTTGTCTTTTCATCTTTTTTTTTTAATATCTCATTAAGTGGTCATTATGTTGATTATCACAATAAGCAATAAACTGTAGAAAGCTAATCAAGCTAATCCATCAAAATTGTGAACCCAACGCACGTTTCCTTTTCTTCTCTCTCCTATGCTTGTCTATCTTCTGTGTGGATTAATCAACTCCCACATATCTCTCCCTCTCTCAAGTCTCAACTCCCCGAAATTCGCTTCAGCCTCTCTTACAATTTTCAGGTTTGATTTAGTAGTTTTTTAATCCCCATTTCACCGATTTGTGTATTTCTATGGCATTCATGGTCGTACACTATATATATAGATCTCAAGTATCAATTTCCCAAACTTTGGGTTTCAATTAGGGCACTTTTTGAAAACATTGTTGTGAATTTGAATGCACTGGTGCAAGAGAAAGCTTTAGATGCGCTATTGCGTGCCTAAAAGGTGTGTTTGCATGTCTCTGTGTCGAGACACTTAGCAAATGTTTTGGGCCTGTGAACATACCATTTTTATGCTCTCCACTTTAGATTATAAATTTGACAGTATTCTGTTTGTGCCTATTTTGACTTACATTTATTCAAATAATTAGTCTATTGTTATTTTTTTGTTAATTGATAGCTTCTGCATCATTGTTGTTGAAACAATGCTGTATACAAACATTTCAATATCAATTATTGGTTCTTGTAACTAAATGTATCTATGCAGCTTCAAAGAACTGAGAATTCTATCCATTTGCTTGCGAAGTGGCATGTGCAATGACTACAAGAGTAAAGTAGCAGGACTTCATAATCATTGGTATTGCCATTTTTGAGTTTTTGTTTGGTTTTTTCCTTTTTTTTGTCTTATATTTTTCTGCTTACACCTACACACTGTTTGTATTTTTTTTATAAGGAAGAGATTTTCAAAGTGCTATGTCATGTACTTTTTTTATTGCCATGATAAAAAAAATTGTGGACAACTATTTTTGCAGCGATTTTTTTATTTGTTTTGATTTTATTGAGAGAAAGAAAAGCAAAATCTGAAGCACTTGCTCATTCCAAATTCCTGGGTGTAAATGTGTGGATGCAATATCTTTCTTTCATTCTAATGCTGCATTTCTTATGATATATGTATTTAGTGGTTTACATGGCTGCCGATTTGCACATAGGCATTCTTACATTTGCTTACGTGCATATAATTATGTATCATTTTCTGTTTATTGAAAAAATTGGCCGCTTTATTATAGTACGGCGTTCAACCTCTCAGTTTTAACATGAAAATTGTTTGGCTATGATTACCAAAGAAAAAAAAATTGACATAGATAAGCCTATAACATCAGTGGTTGGTTGCATGATCACATGAAACATGATTCCTATATGGGTTTCATTGATATTTTGGGCTGCAATAGTTTGGTCTATTTTGTGGATATCAAAGAGGATATTATCCTAACAAAGGTGAGTTGTGTAGTTCTTGTCTCATGTTGAAGGCTCTGGTTGTTACACTGTTGGCCAGAGCTTGGAAAGAGCAGAGTGACTTAAGTTGACAACTTGTTTGTTTACACTATTAATTCAAAGCATTTCTAATGGATGTGGTTGGTGAAATTTTCAACATCTGGACAAAATTATAGAAGGGAAGAGAGTAAAACTGAAAGGGGCAAGGGGTTGCTTTTTTATTTTCACATTTGTCCTATTAATATCTAATAATAGGGCCGTTACATGACAATTGTGAAGCCATATTGGAACATTGGGGATATTCAAGAAATCCTCAGTTGTTTATTGATAATTTTTTCCTTTTTTGCCACCCTTGGCCCTCGATTATGTTAGAATTTCGCCAATCACATATCATTTTAGTTAGATTTTAATTTGCATGAGTCATCTCTTTTATGATATTTTGTTGGATGAAGCTAATAAGTATCTTTGGATGTCCTCGCATGCCTTGATTTTTTTATGACCATACTTGGATGGAATTTCAGTGTTGAAATGATAACGATTATGATTTGTTGGTAATGCTAGCCATCTTCCCCAATTGGGGCTGGATGGAATGATGGTGATTTGGTTTTTCACTGTGTTACCTGTCATGGCACTTGTATATAGAAGTTGAGTTTGGTGGTTGCGATGCAGATAGCATATTTGTATTAACTTGGAAAAGACAAGGAGATATAAACATGTATGTTGTTGAAGGTAACCAATTCTATTGAGTGGTCAAACATAGTGACTACCCTAGCTATGCTTTCAGTATAGAATATGTTTATAGTGTTAGACAATGTTTCAGGTTGTGTTTATCTGTCTGAATGTCAAAGTGTTTATGCTCTAGGTGGAGTTGAATGTTGTTGATCGTTTTTATGTTATATAATTTAATAATGTAGTGTGTTTTCCAGAATGCTATTTAGAATGATATCAAAGTAATTTTGTTTCGTGAATGTAGTTGGTTTTACTTGGTAGCTACTATGTTGTGTTGAAACATATAGACTATAGAGGAACTTACAAAAGATTGTCTATTTTTCTCTCCATGTTTTAACATAGCCGAGTAGAGCTAATCAGGAAGTGTATCATTTTTTTAAATTTGGTTTGATGATAAATATTTGTTACTCTAATTTTCATTGGAGTTGGAATATATGGCATTGAATGTTTTATCTTTAGGTTGCTAAAAATTTGAAACGAAAAGGTGTTTGATGCATCTATGGTTTTCTCTAATCGTTATGAACTTGATTTAGTTTGCTCGGCGGAGATGAGATAGAGAAAGAAAATGTTCTTTTAAAAAAAAGGACAATAACTTGAAAGTCACAAATTGGTCATTTTTTTATGTAGACACGATGTTCAGTATGATGTCCTAACCATGGAGGATTCATTGTGTTATGATAAGTCAGTGATGAGATTGTCGATTTAAGTGGGTCAACAGCTGAAATAAATTATATTTCACTTGATTGTTTTCATCAATTTTCTGTAGTGTACAAAAATATAGGAATGAATTTCGTTTTCTATTTACTTAATACTTTCATCATTGAGGATCTACATAAATGAATAAAGTTCTCTATTGATGTTGACATGTAAATCATGGAGACCCTTTAATCATATCTTTTACCTTTATTTTGAAAGACCAAGAGGAAATGTTATTTTTCCTCCCCTCCCCCCTCCTTAAAATGTATTAGCCTTTTGGAGAATTTGGTGACTTAGCAGTTTTAGGCCATGTTTTTGGCATTTCTTCCGCTTGCTGTCTATTGATTTGCTGTGGGTCGTATGATGTGATCATGTTTCACCTCAATTGTTTTGCTGCAATTCAGAGGGGACAATAGAGGATAGTTTAGTGGAAGAACTTTGTACTGAACTAGGATTCAAAAAAAAAAAAAGAGCTATCAGAATAATCTGACAACAAGAATTTTGTTGCATTCTATTGTGTTAAATTGTATGCAAGATTTTAAATTCATGTGCATCGAGGTCCTCATTGAAACTTTAAATAGCTAAGAAATCTGTCTTTGAATATGGAATGTTGTCAGTCAGGTGTGCAGAAGCATTTATTATGGAAAGATATTGATCCATGGTGGTAGCTTTGAGAAATTGCCTTTTCAAACTTGGTTTGTTGGTGTTTTCCTAACCTCTAGAAATGTAAACCTCTTACTAATGGCTCTTTCAATTGGCATAAGAACCATCAATCCTAGGTAGAATGACATTTTTTGCTTGTACATGTGCTTGAGGATCACTTGGTTTACTAAGATCTTAAACATTGACAATCTCAAAATCTATACAACAATAATATACCTCATATGATACTTGAAATAATCCACGTATAACGCACGTGTGCACCAACTAGTAATATATAAATACACATACACACAGACATTTATATGTATTAACAAACACACATGAATTAATGTGCATTAAAGATGAGAGATTTTGAATTAAATGATTCTAAAATGGGCATTTATGTCTTTGTAACTCAGCTGTGTATATTTTTTCAAAATATTTTTTTCTAATTAAGTCTAATTAGGTGTACTAGTTTTCAAAGAACCCAAAATAAATAGGGTCTATTTAAATTTAGGATACGTTTATTTAGTTGGATAATAGTAGAAAAAGAAACTTTTTAAAATTTCATGTGTTTGGTTAGTATGAAAAGGAAAATGATAAAAAAAATAATTTTCTTTCATGTTTGAATTTTCTCACAAATAATTAACTTTTTTTTTCTTGTAAAAAATACAAGGAAATGCAAGAAAGTTGTGATCTATAACAAATTTTTTATTTTATCTTTATTTTTGAAAAATATTTTATTAGTTATTAATTTTAAAAAATTTGGGTATGAATTTGATTAAGCATATAATTTGGCTTAAAGACATTCGTTTTGGTGATTGTCCTACAATTATATTTCGAGTCCCTTTTTTAAAATTTTTTAACTTTCAATTATAATTACTTATTTTTTTTCTTTTTTTAGACTGATTTAATATAATTTATGGTAGTTTAAACAATTATAAAAAATTTCTTATAAGTTTCTTTTCTTTCAAATAATAGAATGAAATTTTTTTTAAACTTTTCTGTAAATTTTTCATTTTAACCAAATACATGTATCAAAATATATTTTCTATCATTTTTTTTTTCACTTCACTTTCTATCATTTTTTTCTTCCTAAACAAACGGTCCATTAAGGATGATGAGTAAGAAAATATACAAATACCATATGACAATGTGCTATGGTATTATTAATTAATAATAAAATTTCAAATAAATAAATAGATTTCACAAAAATTAATAACCAGCCTGTCACCTAAACAAATAATTTTACACTCTTCTTTCATGTAAGTTTAATTGGGGTTCACCTTATCCACTTGAAATTTTATTATTTGTTGGTTGTCATCAATGATGACATAGAATCACCGTTATATTTAATATTTACTCATGATAAGGTAGTGTTATATCATTCAGTGAGAAAATTTAAACTATTTTTGTTATCTTTCATATTTTTTATTTTTGATTTTTCAATGATGAATTAGCAGTCAGGAATGTTGATGACACCATAAATAACAATTCAACATTATTGAGTTTAGTTAGATTGGCCTGTCCCGAGCCATCCATCGCAAGTATACCAACTTCTATATCACCAAGTGAAATCCAAGCTCGGCTACAACCATATGTTAGCTCGAATCTAGCTACTCGAAGAAAAGGAAGAACTCAATGAGCCTCAACCTTGGGCAGAAAACTACCACCTCAAGAATGTGACCTTGTTGCTTCCAAAAGTCCATGTGTCTTGTAAATATGATTGTTTCTGAAAACCAAATATTTCTTAATAATTTTAACGGATAGAGAGGACCATACAATAATCGAAGAAGACAAAAAATTAATCTCATATAAAGAATGAATAATGCTAGATGAATTTAAAAATTAGACTTGATAATTCTAACCATTGAAAAGGTAGTGAGTACCAATAAATACTGGAACTCACAGTGAAATTAATGGTTATAATTATCAAGTTTAGTTTTTTAGTTTTCTTTTTAAGTTCACGTATCATTGCTCATAAATAATAGGGAGAATTACACTAAAATCCCTTGATGTTTATCACTTAATTACTCAGATCCCATGACATTTAAAATATTACACACAGATTCCCTGAGATTTGTATGCATACAACACTTAGACTTATGTCGTTAGTATATCCATTAGTTACATTCAAACCCCTTGGAGTTTTTAGGCATGTAATACTTAAATTGCTCAAGTTTAAAATTTTATATTTAGACTAAAAATACATCAAACAAATATAGAATATCAAATATTTTAAATTTTATAATCAAAATTTATATTCTTTTTTGACATTTATTGAAATAAAATTAAAATTAAAAATTTAATTTTTCTTAAAAAGTAGAATTAGTATATTATTATACTATCTATTAGAATATAATTTGGTCAATAAACAACCAAATTATCCCAATTAAAGTAAGAATATAATGTCTTCATTACAGTTTGATCTCTTATTTGATTTTTTAGTTTTATTTAAATACATAGTATAATTGTATATTAATTATAAATTTTTAAGAAAAATTAAATTTTTATTTTTATTTCAATAAACGACATAATAAAACATGAATTATGGTTGTAAAATTCATGCTCTATTAGGAATGACTTAGACCTATTGTATAATTTTTTAGTTTTATTCTAATAGATATGATAATTGTATACTAATTACGATTTTTTAAGAAAATTTGAATTTGAATTTTTAATTTTATTTCAATAAATGATATAATAGAACATGAATTTTGATTATAAAATTTAAAATATTTAATATTTAATTAGAGTATTTTTTTGCCTAAATATAATATTTTAAATTTGAGGGGCATAAGTATTATACATTTATAAATTTCAGGGGATCTGAGTGTAATTTATTAATGGGTATACTAACAGATATTTGCCGGTAGATGTCTAAGTGTTACACTCGTATAAATCTCAGAAAATTTGTATATAATATTTTAAATGTCAGAGAGTCTGAATAATTAAATAATAAACATAAAAAAGTGTCGATGTAATTGTCCCTAAAAAAAAAGAGATGCCCTACTGAAAAAGGTGG